TTGCGCTGCGCACTCCCGCTTCCGCTTGCCCGCGCCTGTTCCGCTTGAAGGCTGCAAAGCAAACATCAAGACCCAATCCGCAGCTGCAAGACTTATTCGCGACTCGGCCGTCATCGCGCGGGACGAGGCGCCCGCAGCCTCGCGCGCCATGTTCGAGGCAGTGGACGCGCGTCTGCGAGAACTCCTCGGAAACGTGAGACCCTTCGGGGGGGAGGCCGTAGTCTTTGGAGGGGACTTTCGTCAAATCCCCCCTGTCCTTGGCTGCGATGCCGTGGTGGGACTCCGTCGCCGTACGGAAGTTCAGACTCCGCCGGGACATGCGCGCCACTGTGGACGCAGCTTTCGCCGAATTCTGCCTCCGCGTCGGGGACGGCGCGTGCGCCTCTCCACCCTTCGAAAACGTAGACAGAGAGTACGAGGCGTGCGTCGTCGAACTCCCCGACGCCGTTCTGGCCCCCCATTCTTGGAGACCAGAAGAGTTGTTGGAGCGGGTGTGCGAGGGCTTTACCACGGTAGAGCCTGCGCAATGGTGCCAGCATTATGCTTCCCGTGCCGTTGTGACGCCAACGAACGATGCTGCTGACGCCCTCAACGCCCTCATGCACGCGAAGTTGCCCCGCGATGCCGAAGAAGTGTCTGGAGCCACGACGTGGCCATCGCCGAAGTGGATCACGGTGATACCTACACCACCGAGCTTCTCAACAGCATCCAAACAGCTGGACTCCCGCCGCACGAGTTGCGCTTGCGCAGCGGCTCCTTAGTGATCCTCCTTCGGAACTTCGCCCCGCACCGCGGCCTGTGCAACGGAACGCGGCTGGTTGTAGAAACGCTGCGGTCGTGCTTCCTCGTCGTCCGTATAGTCGCAGGCCCTTTCGCAGGCAACGTCGAGCCCATCCCGCGGATTTGTTGCGAGTCCCGCGGCGATTGCGAGCTCCCTTTTGTCCTCCGACGACATCAATGCCCCGTGAGACCGGCCTGGGCCATTACCATCAACAAATCGCAAGGCCAGTCCTTGCAAGGTCGTCTGGGAGTCTATCTTCCGCGGCCCGTTTTCGCGCACGGCCAACTCTACGTTGCCATCTCTCGAGGGTCGAGCTTTGAAACAACGATGGTCTTGGTAGAAGAGACGCACCAGACGGAGCAAGGCCTCATGCCACCTACGGGGAGTTGCCCTGCACGTGCATTCGCCGCCAACATCGCAGACGCGTCATTGCTGCAGGCAGCGCGCGCACTTGGCCCTGACAGTAGCGCCGCTCGAGAGAGCGTGGGCGTAGATCACAGAGAGGACGGCCAGGCACCCCGACCGAAAGAGGCAGACGTCGCCGCCACCGCCACGCAAGAAGTCCCTGCCCTGCACGAGACCAAATCGTGCGAGCCGGCGCGCGCTCTTGACAACGAGCGAGGGTCCGGCGCGGAGTTGCACGGCATGCACGCAGCGTATTTTAGACACCACGCCACCGCGCAAGACACCTTCGACGAGACGGCCGCCCACACATACACAGTGACCCACGAAGTGCTCACGCCCAATTGCGACTCACCAGCCCCCCCCGCGAAGCGCGCGCGGAGATGCCGTGCGCCGCGCCCTCCAGAGGGAAGCCCGCCGTCTCCCGCTGAGACGCCCGCTGCAGACGTTACATCGCCCGCACCTCGTTCGGCGACCACCAGCTGCATGTCTTTCCGGCTACCGCCCCTATGTTCGACAGTGCCATGCGGAAGCTCCGCTTCCAGGCCCGCGGAATCTCGCGACGCAACCATCGGTCCGCTCGCCAAGCGTGCCCGACAGCTCACCCGTGGCCCTCCTCCGTGGCTTCTCCTTCACGATACTGGACTTCCCTCCCCTGAGCCGCTCTGGTCGTTCGACTCGGCCCCGACGTGGTACAGTGCGCCGCAGACCGGTGCGACGACCGCCGCGGGAACGCAGCGAGGCAGCACTTGCGGCCTCCATGCCTTCAACCACGCGCTTGCCGCAGCATCTCTCTCTACCCATCGTCCATTCACACCTGTGGACCAGACGCGGTTTGAGCAGACAGCCCTCGCAGCCCGCATTGGGGACCGCATCGAGCACCTGCTTGAGGATCACAGTGGCAACTACGACGTGGCCGTACTATCTTGCAACTTCACGCGCGCCGACCTCTCCATGCCGCCGCCGACGCCCCACGATCTGCAGCGCCGTTTGGGCTCCCCCTTTGACGACCACGCGTCCACAGAAGGCCTCTTCCGTCCGCGCGCGTACCTGTTCCGCGGCCCCATGTGCGGAGGCCATTGGTTCGTCGTGGTCTCTGCGCCTTCCTGTTCGAACGCTCCCAGTACTAGTTACACTCTGGCCCTCTGCGACTCCCTGTTCGCGCGTCCGCACGTCATCCCGCCATCCGACTTGGATCGCATGCTCGCCATCTGGGCCTCCAACAAGATCGCGTGGAACTCCTTGGGCGATGTCCACTGCGATTGGCGATGTTTCCTCCCAGCCAAGCAGATGTGACCGATCGGTCAGCGTGACCGCGCGCGGCACCGCGAGGACACCGAGCGCACGCTCCAGAGCCCATGATTTCCTAGGTGGCTTCCTCCTCCTTGTCCTCCTCCTCCTGCCTCTCCTCCCCCCTCCGCTCCTTGGTAAACGTCGCGCCACCTCCTCCCCCTCCTCCTCCTCCTCCTCCTCCACCTCGTCCTCTTCCTCCTCTTCCTCCTCCTCACCCCCGTCCTCCTCCCCCACCCCATTCCTCCTCCTCCCCCTCCTCGTCCTCCTCCTGCTCTTCCTCCTCCTCCTGCTCCTCCTCCTCCTCCTCCTCCACCTCCTCCTCTTCCTCCTCTCCTCGTCTCCTCCTCCTCCTCCTCCTCCTCCTCCTCTTCCTCCTCCTCCTGCTCCTCCTCCTACTCCTCCTCCTCCTCCTCCTCCTCCTGCTTTCCTCCTCCTCCTGCTCCTCCTCCTCCTGCTCCACCCCCACCCATTCCTCCTCCTCCCCCACTCCCTCCTTCTCCCACTCCTCCTTCCCTCCTTCCCCTCCTCCCTCCTTCTCCTCCTCCTCCTCCTCCTGCTCCTCCCTCCTCCTCCTCCACCCAGGATGCCTCAACGCCGTGTCTCGCGTTGCTCTGCTTGGAGTGGCCTCACCGGGCACCAGGGGCCATGATTTTCCAACCAGCCTTCGTCGTGGCCTCGCCGACGGCCCCGGCGCCCGCGGCCGCGCTGCTCCGCGGCGGACCATACCCATCGAAGCTCCTGCTTCGGCAGCCGCCGCGTCGAGGTTTATGGGCTTCGGCGTTGGAGGCACTTCGCTGTTATAGTCGTCTGGGGGTTGTTTCTGAGCCCTTGGGCGTCCCAAAACAGATCCAGGATGAAAAACTGCATCGGAAGAGCCTGAGAAGGAGTCTGGCGAATGATTTTGCCAGGTTTTCGCCAGAGGAGGAGGATCAGCCTCTGTGGAGGGGCAGGCCAGGATGCGTGGGGCCACCAAGAGATGGAGTTCCGCCCTCCATCCCCTCCTTCCCCCCCCACTCGCCTCCTTCGTGCATTCTTCGGAGGACTCTCAGAGACTCCTGGCGCCTCTTGGGCACTCTTCGGCGCCAGGGAGCCGTGACCACTGGAGCGATGCTTGCCTCGGCGCCCGCTGGCGCAGTGGTACCGTGACTAGAACCAAAGCGCGCGCGTGGCGCGCGTGGTTCTAGTATATATAAACGTATGCATACATGTAGAGAGAGAGAGAGAGAGAGAGAGAGAGAGAGAGAGAGAGAGAGAGAGAGAGAGAGAGAGAGAGAGAGAGAGAGAGAGAGAGAGTGAGAAAGAGAGATCGCGTGTTTTTCCAGAGTCCAGAGTTGGAAGCAACGCAGTGGTCTTGTTTCACCATTCATCAGATGATGCTTTACATGAACGTGGCAGCCATCGCGTGCAATTCAGGCTTCAGTGCTCCCAAGTGGTTCGCGAATCTCCGCGTGCGCATCAGGACGCTAGATCGAACAACTCTCCTCGGCGGTGCCAAGACGACAGATGGAAACATATCGTCTGGCACCGTCAGATTGCGAGTGCAGGCCGCGCAGGATCACTTGCCGTCGGCTGGCCCAGATCTCGCCCCTCCTATAAGGGACACCGATAGGGTGGACAGGCATAGGGGGGGATGTATCGACCCCCAACCGCCCATTGATCGCCAATGGGGGCCCGATAGACCGAACCCGCCCAGGAAGGTCCGGATTCATTATCGGGGGCTATGGTTGATCTATCGGCGATGTATCGCCGATTCCAGGTCGATGTATCCCTCTCTGTGGCAGTCCCCCCCTATCGTTGCCCCTCACCCCATCTTTCCGCACCAGGGCCAGGAAAACCTTTTATTGAATATAGTCGTCCAGTTTTCGCGCCGGAAGCCGCTTGAAACTATCAGAGATTGCCGGGGCCTGACGAAGACTGTCAGAAGACTGCCCGAAGACCGTCCGAAGACCGCCGAAGACCGCCGAAGGCGGACCAGGAGCGATGGGTAACAAGGGGTCCATGATCGAACACGTACAGTGGAGGCCAGTCCACAAGAAACCTTCCACAAGAAACCCCACCCTGAGACCCCAGGACGTCCATTGCCTTTTGGTCTGGGAACGTCACGCTTTCCGTGGCAAAACCATCGAAACCCAAGAAACCCTGGGCACCCAGGAGGCAAGCAGGGTGTTTCCTGGCATGGGCACCCACTATAGGGGGCCGGGCGAGCCATTGCATGATGGGCCTGTTTTCCACCACCACCACCATAAAGGTGGAGGACGAGGGGGTGGGGGACGAGGAGTGGGGGCAGGGGGTCCTCCTCCTCCTCCTCCTCCTCCTCCTCCTCCTCCTCCTCCTCCTCCTCCTCCTCCTCTTCGTTCGCGTCCTCCTCTTCGTCCTCCTCCTCGTCCTCTACCTCCTCCCCCCCTCCAGCGCATGGTGGTGGTGTTGGAAAAACAGCAGGCAGCCGGGGGGGGGGGGGGGGCGGGTCGGGGGCCCCCGTGCGCGCGCGCGCCGCTGCCTCGGAGCCTGGCCGCCCGCGGCAGAGGTCGGCGGCTCCGGGTGGTTCGCGGACGGCAGCCCGAGGCGGCCCCACGCGGCCTGCGCGTTCCCCGGCAAGCGGGCGCGCTGGCAGCTGACGTTCCTCCACCTCCGCCTTCCCAGGCATCGGGCGCCTCGAACCAATCGAGACGAAGGTGTTTCATAGTTTCTGGCCCTTCGGGGGGCCCTCAGCAGGCTTCGGGACCGTCAAAAAACGATTCGGGATGAAGAACCGGCCCCGGTGAAGTGGTCGGGAGGTCGGGGGCCCGTGTCTCGAAAAAATCGAGACGTCGGACGTTTGGGTTCCATAAAGAATGTTTTCTGTCCGTCTGGGCCACAGCGCGCGTCATGCCCACAACATGATGCTCCCCTCCCAGAACGTAGCGCTCCTCCCTTCAGTCCTTCAGTGTAACCCTGGCGCTGCCGCAGTGCGTCTGGCACCACAGTCTGGGGGGGGAAGCGGCGTAAAGTTATGCCCCCCCCGGTCCCCCTCGCCTCCCTTCCCCGGGCGGAATTGGCTGCGAATACAAGAGTGCGCTCATATCTTCCGACTTCCGCGGAAGGTGCGGAAGCATTCATTGAAATTCATCGAAGTTCACGAAATTCAAAGGGGATCCACATAGATCATATCGGAAAAGGAGCGGAAGGTTGAGGCGGAAGGTCCGGAAGAACGAGGGGGAGGGTTTATAGATTTTGAAAAACCGGAGGCGAGATCGCGAAGGCCTTGCGGCCAGCGCCTCCGACCCTGAAGGCGGGACCTCCCCCAGGAGACCCCGCTTGCGCCTCCCCCGGGACCCCCCTCGCAACCCGCCGTGACCCTTGGGGGGGTCGGTATTCTGATTGGGGACCCCCCCCACCCCCCCGCTCCACTGTCAGGGCAGGGGCAAAAGGGGATGGAATCGACTTAATTGCGACGTTTCTTTTCCTGGTTGCTCAACTTCCTTGTCACTGGCGACGGCGACGACGACAACGACGACGGCGAGGGCAGAACCTCTCGTACGCGCCGGAGGGTCGGCAGGTTTATTCTCACCCCTGGTCGTACCCATGACCGCAGCAGGTCCCCATGGTCAATTCGTGCCTGTCCTTCTACAGGAGGGATTTTTCAAAATAGTGGAAACATTGTAGTCTAGAGACTAATTTGGGATTATTTGCAAGAACTGAAACATATTTTCTGTAGAGTATTATTTGTCGCCCAGAATCCCCCTGTGGGGGGACGTGCCCGACCTGACCGTGCCCGTAACCGCAGCAGGTCCCCACGGTTCGCAGCCTCTGGCCGACGGTGGGTGCCCCCGGTGCGGCCTGCCCGCGTCCCCAAGGGGATCGCGGCGACCCTCGGGGGCGGCCCGCCCCTCTGCCTTTCGCGGGGCCCGCGGGGCCCGGCGCCCCCCCCCGCGCAGGGCCCGTCCGCCACAATAAACAAGGTACACGGGGACCCTCCGCTGGATTTACATCGGGCCTGTCCGTCTACAGGAGGAGGAGTTCGTGGGTTGACAGACCTCCTACCCTGACACGTCGATTAAGTTGGTCGTTGTCGCTTCGCGAGAGGGCGTCGCGGCCGCCATTTTTGCGAGTCCACGTCCGTCGGTTTGGGTCCCATGCCGTTTTCACTGAGGGGAGGTTTGCTAAAGGGAGGTCTGCCCACCGCCGAAGATTCCTCAAATAGTCAGACAGTGGTATGAGGATGATTTTTGTTGTTGTTTGTATTCTTGACCACTTGGGGGACGTGTCTTGGCTACCTTTCAGGTGGTCATTCCAAACCCGCCTGTAGCGGGACATGCCCGACCTAACACTGGATTGTTCTTGAGCCGGAGGGGAGAGCGGCGGTGTACACATCACCATCGGGAGCCAGCGATTTTACCCACAGGGAGGCACATGCAAGATCCGTCGGAGGGCGTCCGTGTACGGTAGGTTCGTGCAGCGTTGACGCGCTGGCGACGCCAGCGAAGGCGTGAAAAGGTTAACTTCTGCGACGCGGAAGCCCCGAGGGACACAGTCATGCCATTCGACCCGACCGGATTCAACCCTGGACGATCGGGGCCGCGATCGATTCCGTCGGCGTGTTGAGCGATCGACGCGGTGTCAAAAAATCCTTGGCGCGCGCCAGCGCCGCACGAACCTTCCCGCATGTTCGTGGCGTAGCTCGGGCCTTGGCATCGCTTGGATGTGCGCATTTTTCCTTCGACGAGGGCCATCGAGGAACATCCTTGATCATTTGGCGAACAAGCCACGCACGAGACCGAAAAAAACACAGGGAATGGACGTCCGAGCGATGGCCACGGGCCGCGTGCCCCCCCCCTCCCAAGCGGGCGCTGCCCCTCAGGGCGATGCTGGGCTCAGGATCGGCGCGCATGTATATGACGCACGGCCTGCGCTCCAGGAGGGGGGGTGCGTCGATCCCAGGCTTCGGTCGGGCATACCTCGACTACACGTAAGAGTGACCTTTCGCCGGAGTGACCTTTGGTGCGGGCACAATGGGGTCCCCCGATCACCGATTGCAATGCGATGGTAGCGTCTTGCGAGCCTGAGTTTGGTCCCCCCCGCGTCCGCCCCAAAAGCCGCGCACCAAAGGTCACTCGTACCCAGGGTCACTCTTGCGTGTAGCCGAATGCCCCTCTCCAGGAGGAATCTTCAGACATAGTCAACACACAGTCTGGGGACGGTGTTGTTATGTATTGTGTTTGTGTGTTTTGAGAACGTGCTTGTGTATTCTTATATCGTTCTTGCAAAGTCCGTCTGCGAGAGGACATGCCCGACGTAACCCCAGGCCCAGGACCAATCTGTACAGCATTGGTAGCTATACCGTGGGGCTGGGGCATGAGATCGAGCTCGACTGTGAGAGGGTACCCTAGTGTTTCTCTTGTCTGTTGGATGTTTCTCTTCATCGAGAATACATGAACCCCTAACCCTAATGACACAGTGAAGACGTGGCCTCACTGAGGTCCCCATCTTTGCACCAAGGATAATAATTATGGGCGGTTGTTTGTTCGATCCATCTGCAGAAAAGAGCCCCTATCCCCAATGTTCCTGGCCGTCCTAACTTACGTCGCCTCCCAAATGGTTAGGGTTTTTTTTCATGCTTGATCATGATTGCGCATCCTGGGGGAGGGTACCCACGAGTGATCTGTTGGTATGGGGTATGTTGGCCGGCGGAGGGTCTCATGCTCTCGAAGGATGTTCTTCTGGCCCAGGTCCGATTGGAGTCGCGTGTTTGGTTGGTGTGTTCCCAGTTCATGCAAGTTTCGGTAGCATCGGGGAGAGAAGCGGAGGGGCTGTGCGAGAGGGAGGCATGGGAGCCCTCATTCGTCGCGGCTGGTGGATTCGGTACGGCGACTATCCGAGGACTTGTTCTGGTGGGGAGCCTCGGGATCAGTTTTGTGAGCGAGTCTGGATGAGGTTGATTATAGATTTGTGTATACGTATATATGTATATATGTATATATGTATATATGTATATCTATATATATATATAGGTGTATGTGCGAACTGGATGAATCAGCCAGATGAGCTGGAAAGGCAGCCAGCTCCGCCGCATCAGACCCCAGCGAATTCTGCAAATAATCTGAGTGGCTTACTTTGCAGACTTGGCTTGAAGCGTCGCAACTGACGATTTTGGTCAGTGAGCACTGATGAGTTGCGGGAAGGCGAGCCTTCCAGAGGCTCAACGCCCCCGCGCCAGGCGATTTCCGTCTGCCCACGGTCGGACTAGGCACGGAGGTTGCCAGGCCTAGTGCTCCCTGCAGGAGAAGAAACCCAGGTAAGTATGTGATTCTTTTCTCACAGGCTCTGCGGTACCAGTAGCCGTTCGTTGTGAACAAATCGGTACGAATGCAGTATGCATGAATGAAACAGGTGTGTGTGTGTGTGTGTGTGTTTGTTCCGAGCCTTGCAATGATGCATCCGGGAGCGCAAGGCACGAAGTTTAGTTGCGGCTATATGACACTTCTCGTTCTCATTTTTTTCGCGCGAAGGTCTCCGCTGCTGCGGATGGTCGGTACCTTCCTCTATCTGTGCGGCGGTGGGCTTGGGATCGGCATTACCAACGAGAGAGCATTAACAATGATGATGACAGACAGTATCAAGGGGAGGGCGTAGCAGATAGCGCAGAACCAGAACATTTGAATGAAGGGACAGGCAGGATCCAAGACGAAGGAATGGGCAAACGCAATGCGATTGAGAAAGAGGGCGGGATGCAGGATGAAGCGTAGCAGTTGCCGCTGCAGGGGTGGATGATGAGTCCGCGGGCAGTTGGATCCATCCGCCAAGGGAGGATGGTTGAGAGGAGGGGAGGGATTGTCATACAAGATATAGGATTGGGAGCACATCACAACAGTGATGCCCGCAACTACTTCGCAGCCGTTCCGACTGAATTCGTTTCGTTGCGCGTTCTTGCACGACGTCCGTCAACGCGTTATTCGCAAGTGCTGCTTGATCGTTGCAACAGCTGCTTGTTCGGACCGGGGATGTTATAATACTGTTGCGTTTAGACAGGGAACGGGGAGTCCTGCTGAAAGTAGATTATTGGGCGGACGCCACACCGCCGACCCCTTGGGGATCGGCGGTTGTTGTGAGTGACATCTTACCCAGACCACCAGGAGACCTCGCAATCCCTGTGGGGCTGCGATCTGCGAAGCTGTCGCCTTTTCGAGGGCTGCTGGGGGGCCCAGCGGAGTGACGTCTTACGCGGACCACCAGGAGACCTCGCCATCCTTCGGGGGGCTGCGATCTGCGAATATGTTGCCACTATCGAGGGCTGCTGGAGGGTCCAGCGGAGTGACGTCTCACCCAGACCACCAGGAGACCACGCAATCCCTGCGGTGCTGCGATCTGCGAATATGTCGCCATTTTCGAGGGTTGGCCCAGCGAAGTGGCGTCTTACGCAGACCACTAGAAGACCTCGCCATTGAATCTGCGAATCTGTCGCCACTTTCAAGGGCTGTTGGAGGGTCCAGCGGAGTGAGAAATCGCCATCCCTGTGTGGCTGCGATCTGCGAATCTGTCGCCACTTTCGAGGGCTGCTGGAGGGTCCAGCGGAGTGACGCCTTACGCTTACCACCAGGAGACTTCGCCATCCCTGTGGGGCTGCGATCTGCGAAGCTGTCGCCTTTTCGAGGGCTGCCGTGGGAACCAGCGGAGTGACGTCTTACGCAGACTACCAGGAGACGTCGCCATCCCTTGGGGGGCTGCGATCTGCGAATCTGTCGCCACTTTCGAGGGCTGCTGGGGGGTCCAGCGGAGTGACGTCTTACCCGGACCACCAGGAGACCTCGCCATCCTTAAGGTGTTGTGATCTGCGAATATGTCGCCAATCTCGAGGGTTGCTGGGGGTGCAGCGGAGTGACGTCTTACCCAGATGCAGATGAGACCTCGCCATCTCCGTGGGGCTGCGATCTGCGAATCTGGCGCCACTTCCGAGAGCTGCTGGGGTGTCCAGCGAATGATGTTTTACCCAGATTCTGATGAGACCTCGCCATTCATGGGGGGCTGCGATCTGCGAATCTGGTGCCACTTTCGAGGGCTGCCGTGGGTCCAGCTGAGTGACGTCTTACGCAGTTTCAGATGATGCCTCGCCATCCTTGTGGGGCTGCGATCTGCGAATGTGTCGCCGCTTTTGAGGGGTGCTGAGGGTCCAGCGAAGTGACGTCTTACCCAGACCACCAGGAAACCTCGCCAACCCTGTAGGGCTGCTGGGGTGCCCAGCGGAGTGACGCTTTACGCGGACCACCAGGAGACCTCGCCATCTTTTGTACCGCGCAGTGGTTGGCGCCTTTTTCTGCTATCCGGGGGGTGTTTCGAGTTCTGGTGTCGTCAGAGTCCTGGCAGGGGTGCAGGGACAGATTGTGAGGGGTCCAGAGGCGGCGAAGGAGGAACGGCGGAGGGGGAGGGGAAGGAGGAGGCGGAGGAGGAGGAAAGTGAAGACGAGGTGTAGGAGGAGGAGGAGGAGGAGGAGGAGGAGGAGGGCGAGAAGGAGGAATCCGGGGAGGAGATTCGACGTGCTGCCGCGGCGGCGCCAGCGCGATCCTTGCACTAACTAAACGCAGGTGCGTCAGCGCCACGGTGACATGGCGCAGGCAGCGCTGCATCTCTAGCGTACTACCAACAAAAGCAGCGCTCTTCGGGCTCCTCCGGTCTCTGTCGTCGTCGTTCTCTGCCCCCTGCCACCTCCCCTCTGCTGCTGCCGCGATGACGGTTCGGCCACCCACGTGTCCTTTCCCAGCCCTTAGTTCCCGCCCCCATGTCCTCAAGCCTGGGCCCTCGCTCCTCGTCCTTCTGTTGTTGTCTTGTGGACCGTGCGACGTGAGCGCATTCCCCGCAGCTTGCACGACAAATGTCGGCACCTGCGCTGTCGTTGTCCTGGCAAGTTTGGACCAATTCCTCTTGTCACTTGGTGCAAGTTGGCTGGGTACGTGACAGAGAGTAGCGGGCACGCGTGGGGAAACGGGCGAGAACCCACGTATACAGACGAAAGGCATTTGTCAAAACACCCAACGAATGGTTATCGAATGGCTTTCGGTACATCCCGCCACCGTGTCTGGTCTGCGGGTTTGAGGCCGTTCGGATAGCTGATGGGGTCTCGTGGGAGGTGTGTCGGGGGCGTCTTGGAGGCAGTTGTTGAATTTTTTGGGGGCCTCCTGGGAGCATCTTGGGTTTTTTTTACGGCCATCTTGAGGCTCCCTGGGGGCCTGTTGGGAGCTTATTGGGGCAACCCGGGGGCGTCTTGGGTCGGATGACTCGAAATGTCCTTTCGGGTTCCCGTTCAGGGCCTCCTCTTGGGGCTCTGTCTTGGGCCTTCCTGGGCCGTCTTGGGGGTTTCTTGGGCTGTATTGGAGTCCTCATGGATCGTCTTGGAGCCATCTTGGGGGCCTCTTGGCCGTCTTGGGTCGAACTTGAAGGCCTCTTGGGCCGTCCAGGACGTTGTGAATGCCCAAGAGGCGGATGTGCAACAATTGCACGTTTCCCAAAGGGGATGGGACGATTGTTGTTTTTGGAGGCCCTCGTGGGGCGCCTCTTGGGGGGTTCTTGTGGCGTCTTGGGGGCCTTTTGGGCCGTCTGGAGTCCAGCGTGGGCGTTTTGGATCGATCTTTCAGCGACTCGTTGATAAAATATCTCGCGCGATGTTTTTCAAGGCGCCAGAGTTCTGGCTTCTGTAGATCTCCAGAGGTCCTCGGAATCTCCAGAAGCTTACTCCTTCGTCGTCATCCTTTGCGTCCTCTTCGGAGGGCTCCCTGAGGTCAGCCACGAAAGGGAGGGCAGGTCGGTGGCGGGATGAAGGAAGAGAAGGAGGAGTAGGATTTGGATGTCCGCCTTCTGTATGTGTTGTAAATTGTAGTTTTCCCAAAATCGTTAACAAAACGACCCAAGATGTAAAATTCATGCCAAGGAACAGGGCGAGCTATCCATATGCCAGCGACTGAATCCATGTGTGTCACAGGATGCCCAGGGAAGAGCGAGGAACATTAGGAAGGAGAGAAGGAGGAGGAGGAGGAGGAGGAGGAATGTGTGTGGGCCGCTTGCAGATGGATGGGGGAGGGGGGCGAAGGCGGCTTCTGGAGGGACATCTTGGGCGTCGCTCCACCTGGATGCTCCGGATCTCGGTTGCCAGCTCCTCGTCGTCCTTCGCCTTCCCTCCCCGTTCCTGCCCTCCCGCTCCTCTCTCTCGCTTCATCCCCATCCCCCCTACCTTCACAGTTACACAGTATGATTTGCTGTCCAGTTCGGGGCCGCATCTACCATGTTTTGTTTTTCCAACACGGGACTTCAGATGCTGATGTGTTGAATTGTGTGTTTCGATCGGACTGCGTTCGGTCCTTCAACAATGGTGTTTCCGCTGCAGTGCTGGCCACACTGCGGAATCGGCGACTTGCTTCCGTCCTTCACGATGGCGCTCGCTCCCCGGCGCGGGCCACAATTCTGGATCTGATTCCCGCCTCGCCACTGCCGCCCTTCCTCTTTTCCACTCCTCCAGCTTCCCCTTTGTCCTTGTGTTCATCTTCTTCATGCTCTTGTTGCGGTTGATCCTTCACTTCCTTCCTCATCATCCTCATCTTCCTCTTGCTCGTTGTCCTGCTCATCCGCCACCGCTTCCTCATGAATTTCGAAGAAGGCCCCCCTTCTGAATCGCGCGGTGTGGGTGGTCAGTCTGAGGATAGAGGTTCACTTGGACACCGAAGCCTGTGGAGGCACGACAACTCAGCGCAGTGGGAAGACATGAGTTGGAGGGGCAGGATGTCAGGTGTGGCGCGAGCCCACCTGGCTCAGATGCTATGCCCTGCTGCGACATCCGACTGCGCGAATAGCGAGGAGATCTACGTCATAGTAAGGGATGGGAGGGAGGGGTAGGACGTCAGATGTGACGCGAGCGCACCTAGCCTGCCCCCCCCCAGTTCTTCAGTCCACGCCCTCAGCATCACGCCTATTGCCTCCGCCGCGTGCGGCCCATTCATCCAGCCGACCTCTGGCCCAAGGCTCGCATTTCCTTCGGTCCTTCTCACGATGACTCGATCAACCCTCATCTTTCCCAGCTCTGCTCCCTCACTGCTTCTCTGCTGGTTGTGCACATCTGGGCTCGTTCCGTGACATGTGCTTCCCCCTCTCGAGCGATCGAGGTTGCAAGGCTAGCAACGCAGGGAGGAGCACATGAATCATCAGGATTAACAATGGAACGGTTCTCGCTGCAACGAGTTTTTGAAGCATGTCTTCCCCCTTTGGCGCCGCGTTTCGGATCAGCACACGCTGAGTGACGTGGAGGGCCGTCCTGGGAACACGCGCCTCGGTCCGTTTGTCTGGTCAGCCCTCGTTGCCCGCCCAGGCCAGCCCCATCCGATCCAGCGCACAGGACTCCTGGTTCGCATTGCGCTTCGTGCCCTCTTGTGCAGAGCGTCCTGACGTGCATCGCACCTGCCCCCTGTCGTATGTCTTGCCGGCCGATCCGCACCCTTAGAGATATCAAGCGTGCGGTGCAGGCGAAGGTGCCCAGCGCGTTGTCCATCAATTTTCTGGTCGACCCCTCCCACCCTCCAGATGCCAGCACTCGTGCAAGGACGAATCAGCCGCTGAGGAATCATGGAGCCAGGCCGGACAGGGCTAGGACGAGGATAAATCCGCTCCAGAGCGATCGGGAGCGCTCTCAGAGCACTCTGGAACGCTCTAAGAAGTCCGCCGCGCCCGAGACTTCCTCCAGAGCCACTGGATCTCAGAGATTCTCGATTTATCCTCACCCGATGTTATCTTCGTCCTGGCTTCGTCTTGCCAGGAGGGTGAGGTGAGAACGGTGGGCTGGGTGAGGGTGGCATGGGAGTGACAAGTGCCATCAGCCAGGTGCGAGAGCGTGAGCTCGATGCCTTAGGGCCGCCGAGCTCCGGCTGGGCACGCTAGGGGCATGCAGGAACCGCACCCCTCGCCATGGGGGAGACGGGTCCTGAGGGACACGGGTCCTGAGGCTTTTCGCCGCCTCCGGGCTCTCGGTGCCATCCACGGGCTCCGGACTGCCAGAGATCAACTCAGGACAAAGATCGCGTCCTGGGCGAAGGCCCCAGGCTCCAGGCTCCGTTTCCCTCAGCACGTGCTGCCCCCATGTTGAACCACAGCTGGGACCAGCAGGGGTAGCAGGCCGGCACTCGTCGCGCGCTGCTGGGCACGCAGCGATTGACTTAAGCGGGCAGGGCCTGGAGTCGCCGCCTCCGGTACCGTCCATCGCACGAGCGTCAAGGCAGGCATGTCCCTCTACAGGAGGAATCTTCAGGAAGAGTAGAGAAAAATCGTACGGTGACGATTGCTCGTTCTCCTGATGATTACTGTTTGATTTGTGCTTTGATCATTGCCGCCTGTAGGAGGACAGACCCGCCCTACAAACAAGCGCGAGGAGCGCCAGCGCTGGAAAGCGCCCACCTCGGCCCACAGCAGACCCACGGATTGCCAAACCACCCCGACCCACCCCGCAGGTCCCCGGAGACCCTCCCATGTCTCGAGTTGCGGGGCGCACAGTGGAAACCCAGGCAAAGAAACACCCTGCTTGCCTCCAGGGCTCCCTGGGCGTCTTGGGTTTTTCAACGTTTCTGCTGTGGAAAGCGCAGGACGTCCACACACCAAAAACCAACGGACGCCCCGGGGACTCAGGGTTAGGTTTCTTGCGGAAGGGCTCTTGTGGTCGAGCTCCTCCTCGTCTGGCTGCTGCTGTGTCTCCTCGACCACCCGGACCCCCTGGCAATCGGCAGGCCCGGCGGCGACTCCGGGTTGAGCCGGGCTGGCTTGGTGGGCGGTCACCGGCGAGCCGCGAGAGGCGCCGGTGGGTGGGGGGGGCCCGAGGACCGGAGGGTTCCAGAGGGTTTTTTTTTGGGGGGGGGGAGGAGGGGGGGTTTTCCAGCGAGCCCCCCCTATGGGGCCTCGGGACCTCGTCAGAACAGGGGGTGCGAAGCTCCTGGGGAGGACCCCTCCTGGGAAGCCTCCTCTCCGAATGTGGAGCCCTCGGGGAGGAGTCCGTCCTGGTCGCGGGCTGCCCTCTGAGCCCGCCGGCCCCTGGCGTGCAGGTCACCGCCCACCAGACCACCCCAACCCAGCCCGAAGACCCCGATGTTCACCACCCACCAAACCACCCCAACCCAACCCGAAGGCTCAGATTTACCCTCGATTTCCAGTGGGGGGGGGTCGGGACACGTCGAAAAAACACGTGTGGAACCCTTACCCCCCCCAACCCGAAATTCGGGTCTTCGGGTTGGGTTGGGGTGGTCTGGCAGGTAGTCAGATGTGCTCTCCATTTCCAGCGGGGGGAGGGGGGGAAGGGGGAACATTGGAAACACACCGATGGGCGACGCCAAAAAACGGGGTCGTCTGCGCCGACATCGGCGCGTAAGCTGCTCGCGCAAGGTCGCGCGTAGGCGCCCCCGTTTCCAGTGCAGCGTGCCGCGATGGCGGCCTGCGTAGGCCGCCGCGTAAGGTCGCTGTGCCATCTCGCGTGAGACCCCTTTTCGGATCGTCGCTCACAGGAAGCCCGTCCAGCCCCCCCCCCCCAGCCTAGAATTCTAGCCTACGGGCGGGGTCGGGGTGGTATGGCAGGTATAGTCTGCGGGGGCAGGGCGGAGGCGGGCGCCGCAGGGCGCCCCCGCCGCCGAGGAGCGGGGCAGCGCCGACGCCTCTGGCCCGGCGGGCCGCCCCGGGGCGGCTCCTGTTGTGCTTCGGCCTGCCGCCGCGGCCTCTCGGAGGTCGCAGGGCGCGCACGGGTGGCGTGCGGCGTCGCTGGTCCTGCTGCGTCACACATCTTGTTGCTGCTCTGCGATGTCTAGTGTCAGGTCGGGCCCGTCCCTCTAGAGGAGGGGGTATCCAAGCATAGCAACACATAGTCTGGGGGCGATGCTTTAAACATATGTTTGGGCATTTGGGTGGTATGTTGTGAGTTTTCTTAATTTAGGATATCGCCCAACCTACCCCCATAGGGGGACAGCCCGACCTAAGTCTAGTGTTTTTTATCCATTGTGCAGCGCAGTGTTAGCAATGGTTGATGGTACTGCTGGTGCCTGTTTGCCCTATCGAAGGAGCCTCCGGCGAGTCACCGCCGTCCCTTGTCTCGCTGGAAACGCCGGTATGGCCGGATGGTGTGGCCGTGGTTCGGCCAAGCTATCGGACAATATGTTCGTCCGAGCCGTAGAAAGAAGGAGCAGGAAAATAATAATAAGACATGTAAACATACTATCCCTACGAACAAGAAGACCAGGACAAGGAGGAACAAGCAGGAGCAGGCTTCTCGGGAGCTCTGTTGGGGTACTCGTGGGGCCTCCTGGGAGCTTCCTGAAGGCCTCTTGGATTGGAGGCGTCGTCGAGCCTCTTGGGGGCATTTGTGAGCATCTTGGGGGGCATCCTTGGCCGTCGTAGGGCGTTCCTGGCACGTCTGGCGCAATCGGAAGCTGCCTTGGGGTCCTCTCTGGGCCCTCTGGGGGGTTTCTCAGGGCGCTCCAGGGCCGTCCAGCAGGCCATCTTGGGTGTCTTGGAGGCCTCTCGGGCCGTCTTGGGGCCCTCTTCGGGCCGTATTGGAGGCCACGTAGGCTGTTATGGGGCCACCTTGGATGCCTCTCGGGCGCTCTGGGAGCGATCTTGGGGGCCTCTTGGGCCGTCTTGGGCCGTCGGTTTAATGATTTGTGGCCTCTTCGGGCCCTCCTGGATGACCTCTTGGAGGCCTTTCGACCAGTGTCTGTAAGGCCTCTTTGGGGACTCCTGGGCCGTCTTAGGCCATCTGTCAGAGTGAGGGGGCCGGCGGCCGAACGGTCATTCATTGTCCCTGGGTGCGTTGTTGAAGTGGGGATCCGTGGTGAGAATTATGTTTGTTGCGTTGTTGAGTTGTTGTTGTTTGTTGTCGTCGACCCACCCGCGACCCACCCCGCGACCCACCCCGCGACCCAACCCGCGACCCACCCGCGACCAACCCCGCGACCCACCCGCGACCCACCCGCGACCCACCCGCGACCCAACAGCCACCCACCCGCGACCCAGCCGCGACCCACCCGCGACCTACCCACATGAGTATAACGAAAAAATCCGCGCCTGCGGCGGACTCGCTGTATAATTTGTGAAATTTT